CTCAGTATAGGTGGTCAAGTTACCTTTTATCAGACAGCCAGAAAAAAAGATTATTGATAGAAGGTGGATTAAGTAAATCAGTTGCAAACTATACTGAGGATTTTAGTAAAACATAAACTATAAGATAGTGAAATTATATGGGGTGATTTAAGAAATAACCCTATAAATTTAATACACATCCCTTTACTCTTTTATCTTGCACCAAGTACCCTCACACTAACATATAATGATGTTACCACTGAACTAACCTCAAGGTCCTCAACCCTTAAATCTAAGAAATAAGAGCATTTAACAAGAAAAGAAAAAAGAGAGAAAATCAAGCCAACCCAACATGGTCCCTACCCCCGAAGACTTTAGGTTGGGTTAGGGTTTGTGTTGGGGTCCAATAGCTCAGGGTAGATTAGAATTGATCTCAAACCAACCTAAATTCGCCCAACTTGCACCCTACTTATTTGAAGCACACTTTAATAAAAGAAATAGCAACATTTCTTTACAATTTATCCATCTTTTTTCGCTTATTAGTCAGCAAACCCAATGCTCGAAAAAAACACAGGATTATTTTGGTGATTTTGTTTTCTCTTTGGGAAAAAGTCTGTTCGGTGCTTATTTTTAAGGTTCGATGGTGTCCCGTATTCACATAAAAGTGCTCGTTTGGTGTGACTTCCACATAGCCGCTTCTGGCTTTACAAGGTGAGCCCCACCTAGAATAAACAATGTTCGGTGAAAAGCCCGGAAAACCCAAATTGGATAGCTTTCATAGGTAGCCATGGCAATGGCAATATGGTGGGTTTGGTGAGGGTTTTGTAAATTCTAGATTATATCTGTCTCCCTAAACCTCAAGTTCACATCTTCGCTCCATAAGGAGCCACCCCACAATGCCTTACAACACATTTCCGCCGTGTATAAGAAACATCTCCTAATGATAGTACTAGTCCCAATGATTGGGAGATGTTCCCAATACATGGTGGAGATGTGCTGTGGGGCATTGTGGGGCAGCTTATTGTGTGGCAGAGATGTGATCTCCTAAACCTTGCAGTCCATATCCACCCCAAAAGCTATAAGGGGTTGGATCTTGAGAATCCAAACTTTCTTTGTACAAGAAAATGCAAAATCCTCCCCACATTTAAGGATATGATGGGTTGAGTTTAGAACTAACATCTATTTTTTTATTATTATTTGTTGTTATATATGAGCAATAAATAAGTAAAATAACATAAATAAATAACAGAATTTTCAATTATTTGATTAAAATTCAAAATATTATTAAATTCAATGCTTAATACATAAACTTTATATGTTTTCCAATAATATAAAGGTTGGGGAGGGTCGGATTTAGCCTATTATCATACCCTACACATACCCATATAGGTTATATAGAATCCCAAAACGGGTCTCTGCCCTCAAACCCATCTTTAAGTGCAAGCAAAAATAACCCACCTAGGGGGTAGGTAGGGCAGGTACCCAACAAGTAGGGTAGAAATTGCCATCCTTATTCATAAGGATTTCTTATAGTGGCTTGCAAGGTGGGCCCCTCCCCAGATATCTTATAGGCAGGGAGTGATCATTTTCAACCTAACCGACTAACCCTTAAAGCTCAGCCTAGGGCCCAAAAATTTCAAGATTAGGCCTAGGTTTTGTGTTTAGGGCCAGACCCACAAATTTTGGGGTCGAGCCTGGGCCTACTTCAGACTCGAGCCGGTCCAGCCATGGTCACCCTTATCTATAAGCTATAATTAGTGAAAACCCTATGGCTGCGTTTGGAAGCGATACAAATCAAGAATGATGCAAAAGTTCATACCAATTCGGTTCTGTCGACGTTTGAATGGAGTGTAAATGAAGATCGATATAAAACTCCACTTTAGTTTAGATTTGTCAGCGTTTGGATGAAGTAGAGCTTTACGACATGAATCGATGTAAAACCTTATCAAACGTTAAGTCTTACATCGAATACTTCCTCATCAATGTTAAACTTTACACTTTTCTCATCACACTTTTCAAAGTATAATAGTCACTTCCTCATGGTCCGGTGTAAAGCGTCATCAATATATATTTACAAGGGTAATGTTTTACAAGAATTCCAAACACAACCTATAGAACCAAAAAACATGGCTTTCATGGCTTTCCACTAAAACTTCTTGTAATAACTTCTCCAAAACTGATCAATGAAAGCAGAGCAGCTCAACCAACTTTTAAACGGGTGGCTTTTCCAAAGCCGCTCCATCCCTAAAAGTCCTTGGTCTTCATGTAGCTGTAGGCCCCCAACAGACGCTTTTACTTGGAAAAGTAGAGCGCATCAATGCTGAGTTGTAACCTAAATGGCTAAATCCATTATACGGACTTTTGACTAAGAGTGTCAATGAACTGGTTTTGGATCCGATCCCATCCAGTCCAAAATCAATTTGGACGGATTGGATGGACCAACAAGACATATTAGATTGGACTTATCCAATCTAAAATATTTATTAGATTGGACTGGAACTGGTCCCTCTGTAATAAATTTATATTAGGTTCAGTTGAATTAAGCCAATATCCGGTCCATTGATCTAAGATAAGAATACAGATGTCAATGAGTTGGGTTTGGGTTGAAATCAATCTAAATTTAAATTTAAATGAATTTAAACAAATTAAACGGTCCAAACATTGAATTGAATCGGTCCAAAATATTCATTAAATTGAATTGGACCTGATCCATTATAAATGGACTCACATTGGACCGGATCGGATTGAACCAAATCCAGTCCAATACACCCCTACTTTTGAGGCTTATATTTAAGGGGAATCTACTGTTCAGGCCAGGGGTAAAGTGTGAAATGTGAACGCCTCAAAAACATATTGACTCTGAAGAACAGATTCCATGTCCTTCACCCTGACAGCCTGAGTTATCTTCGTTGCGAAGGTTTGGTATCTGCCCTTCTAACCAATCAATGACTGTGCCCTCCCGTAGCTTTTTTGGTCTCTGCCTTTTTATCTCTCCAATCGGATTTCAAGCTTTTTTCTCGCTTCTTCTGTACGAGGAATATATACAGTTCATCATCTCAATCCAGCGCCCCCCGAGAACATTCCCCTTTTCTTAACGAGGCTGTATTTCCATGCACTCTCTCCAAGAATCGATCGTTCTTTGCCTTTGTCATTAACTTTCCACGTGGGACTTTTTTCCGTCGAGGATAAGAAAACGATTTMAAACCATGGAAGTTCTCGTACAATGTGGGGCTATTTCTGTCAACATGCATAAAATTTCAATTTTAGCTTTGCATGCGTGCCAGATAGGCAGATAATAAAGGGTAAACAGTGAACTCGGTTTATTCGAGTATCGGTTTGGTTCGCTTTTTTTTTTTTTTTTAATCGATTATTCAGTTTTATTGAGATTTTCAAAGGAATTAAATCGAAAATCGAATTAATATTTTTATTTAATTAAATATTTAATACTTCATACTAAATCATTATTATTTTTCCCAATAATTAACTTGACAGTTCACTGTTGGGCCTTGGCCTATTCAAACTTTTAATTACTATTAATTAATTAAATATAAAATAATTATTATTTTTATTACTACAAAATATATTTTCTGTAAAAATAAAACTATAAGTGTCAAAAAAGTGTTTTAAAAAAAGGGAAGAAGGCAAAAAATGTGAATTGCTTTTCTTTCTTATTTAAAAACTAAAAAAGGTGAATTATTTGAGAAAGGGTAAAGATACAGAAAAAGTATAAAGCGGGTTTGGACTTTGGATATTACCACAACTCCGTTTTATCTTTCATGTAAGTAGTGGACGTTAGACGTACTGCATCTCTCAATTAATGCAGTCGGCAAAAGTATATTGGTTAAGTACACTGCACTGCAGAATTCTGAATTATGACCTTATAGGCCTATAGTTTACTAATAATCTATTCTTATAAATCGCATCTTATCCGTGAATTTGACATCAATACACGGTTAGGATTCATCAATCCGTAGATTTTCAGTCACGCGATTTTCCAAGAAAATCAAACCCGGAATCCCGGATGAATCGACTCTGTTCCCAGCTGATGACGATGATGGATGGCGGCATTCACTCCGAGACCCGTCGACTATTGACGGTTCCGGTCTGCCCGTAAATGGAATAGACCCAAGAAAGGAATGATTATTTGATGGTCACATCACATCTTTCGGGCTGAGCTTCGTTTCTTTCCGCATCCTCGTTTTACCCGACCCAAGAAGAAAGGAATGATTTGTCCCTCTTTGTAACAAGTCACGAAACTTGTCCTTTTTATTACACAATTACCATGTTAACAGCTGGTGTCCCACCAATGACGTGGACATGGCCATATGCACCGTTCATTCGAAAACTCGTCCTCTAACTAGCCACGTGTACATAGAATCCCTCAACCTCGTGTGACGCAGTCAGGATTTTGGTTGTCTCGACCGTAACACTCTGTTTCCTCATTGACTCTATAATTGCTGAGCCATTGACTCAACTCTCAACTCTCAATTCTTTTAGGTTGCGTTTGGTTTTGGGTAAAAACTCCCTACATTTTCCCTCCTTTTAATTTTGCTCCGTCTCGGAAATACGTACTTCGCATTTTCCTTTAAACCAAACACAGCATTAGCGTTTTATCACAGATTTAACCCTCAACCTACATTTTATTTACGGCAACACCAACATACCACACGATCAAGTGCGATCTTTGGCTACCAAAGTTTTTAATTTTAACCAATGTTTTTGATTCTTTTCAGGTCAATCATCACCGTTCTTTTACATCTCACATCATCCGTTCCCAGCTCCAGTTATCATAGGGTCGACGTATCCAATTGTCTCTCACTAGTAAAAGTTTTAGTAGCAAAAACGAGCTATACGAAGTAAAATAAAGAAGGAAAATTAAAAAAGAAAAAAAAGGGAAAACGCGAGTACGCTTTTATATGGTCTTTTCGGTATTTAAAGAAAAGCTGAAGGGTGAAGGAGTCTTTTTATTACTTCCCGCTACAGATATATATTACGATCAAGCTTTTAGTTTCGTTAGAAAGCAGTAAAGCACACTGTCTCTCCTACTCTTCGTTTCTTCTCGATCAACTATGTCGCGTCGTAGAGGTGGCCGGCGCAATAATCCTCCATCCGAACAACCGGCGCCGGTGGCGTCATCTCAGCGAGGTAGAGCTGGAGGCGGGCGCGGTGGCCGGGGACCAGGGGGAAGATCTGCAGGCGTCTCCGCTCCAACTCCTCCTCCATCTATTCGTTCTGCTGCAACTTATGAAGTGGGATCGACTTCGTCTACAGTTTCTGCTTTGTCTCAAGAAATAGAGCAGAAGCTTAAGGTGGAACCTCCGTCGGTTTCAGGGTCTGAAGTTACTCCGGCCTCGTCAAAGGCAGTCAGTTGTCCCGCTAGGCCAGGTTACGGTCGAGTGGGAACTAGGTGCTCTCTAAGAGCTAATCATTTTTTAATTTCATTTTCAGAGAAGGACCTTCACCATTATGACGTGAGTATCCTCTTTTAATTACTATTTATTTAATTTTTTTGACATTCTCAAATATTTATTCTGTAATTGCGTTGGAATTTGTATATAATGTGTTCTATCTGTTGGACCATTTTTTCTTTGATTTTGTTCCTCACTTTTTGAATTGCCTATTATGTTTTCATTTTTGAATTGCTTATTACTTTTTTCTTTAGCCATTCTGTGATGCACATCATAAACGTACTCCTTCCACGTCAAATGTGCTCGAGTTCTGGATTTTCTTGGGTTGTCTAATTATTTATTGACAATTTTTATGATGCCGGAAGGGTATTGAATGGAAGAACTTTGATTGATAAGTTGGTATAATTGTCTTTAATTAACACCAGTTGATTGGTTATCAGTTTTCCCTATTGCTTATTGGGAATCTAGCCGATATTTTCTCCCATATTCATTTTTTTATTACTTGCGTTTTGTTGCCTACATTAAATGCGTGTTTTTCCTTGACATATTTCTTTTTGACAATTCATTTTTTTTTTTTTTTAGATTTTGAAGCTTTGAACAGTTTCTAAGAAGTAATCACGGTTATTCTTTAGTCTTTAAGATCATAAGAACTTACGACCAATAAATTTCTTTCCCATGTTTGAGGTATTTGGAGACCACATGGAATGAAAAATTCTTTTGGTCATGTTGGAATCCCACATCGGAAATGGAATGTCTCGTGGATTTTAAGGGCGGAACAAAGTCATTTTAAGTTTTTTTTTTTTTTTTTAAAGATTGACTCACCGCTAAGCTTTAGCAATATTCGGATTGATTCACCTCTACTACCATCATAATGATGAATCTGTTTAGAAGATCTCAACATGCATTCAAATGCTTAAAAAATTTAGATGAATTGATTATATTTCGTACGACTTCTGAAAACGCAAGGATGCTTGGGGAAAGTACTTTCCATGGTATTAGGAAGTTGGTACACTTAAACTGAGGTGCTGATACGTTCTCAATTACAAATCCTACTCTTTGCCCAAATATTATAGTTTCTGTTGCACATAAAGCATTAAGGTTAACGACTGTGAAAAACACTTGTATGTTGAAACATTGAGTAACCAATCTGAACCAAAACTTGGTATAACCAATCTACCGGTACTTGTGGTTATGACCTACGGTTTCATTAAGCTTTTAGTCTTTGTATCTTTGCTTTTCTAGATTGTTTCTTTAAAGGTTGCACTTTAAAGAATGTGCTCTTCTTGGATTGAATGGCATAGGTGTCAATTACTCCAGAGATTACTTCCAGAGTAGTCAATAGAGAAGTCATGACTCAGCTTGTTGCTTTGTATGGCCAAACTCACTTGGGTAGACGGAAACCAGTTTATGATGGCAAGAAAAGTCTTTACACAGCAGGCTCATTGCCCTTTACCTCAAATCAGTTCGTCGTCAAGTTGGTTGATGGTGATGCAAAAACTGGACCAAGGTTTGATAACTGTATTCCTAATTCAGTAATCTCAATGCATCTTTGGTTGTTTGTTTCTTGTTCTCCCATCGGAAAAAACATGCTTGTAATTACATGCTTTTTTGGAGTGTAGAAAGGAGAGGGAATTCAAGGTGACTATAAAGTTAGCGTCCAGAGCTGATATGTACCACCTACAACAATTCTTGAGTGGCAGACAAATGGACAGTCCTCAGGAAACCATACAAGTTCTTGATGTGGTTCTCAGAGAGTCACTCTCCAGAAAGTAATTTAATAGTCTTCAATGATGTTGACAAGATCATAGTGCTACAAAGGTATAAATCTCTGTTCACTAATCCTTTTCCATTCTATGGCAACAGCTATACTATTGTTGGAAGATCATTTTTCTCACCAAAATTTGGCCAAAGGGGTGAGAATCACGAGATAGGTGAGGGATTGGAATATTGGAGGGGCATTTATCAGAGTCTTCGTCCTGCTCAAATGGGTTTATCCCTTAACGTCGGTATTCACTTTTTCTTGTCCCCTATTTCAAGTTTGGTTCCAATACATCCTATTTTTTGGCGATTAGTTTTAATTGCTTAATTGTCATACTTGAGCTTTCTCATTTCTGTAAATCTTGTATTGATAATGATTCTATATGTCATACATTTTTATTGTTTGAAGATGTATCAGCAACATCCTTCTACGAGCCTCTTGAAGTAGTTGATTTTGTCTGCAAATATCTAAATGTTAAAGATCTCTCAAGACCAATGTCTGATACCAATCGCATTAAGGTGCTCTGTACTATTTTTGCCCCTGTACTTTTTTTTTTAAATATTTGCATTATTTATTTAGTTTTTCTACGTTACCTCTTAATACTGTTTATACGTCTGTGTTCATACATTTTTATGCTTTCTCTGTCCAAGTTGTGTGGTGCATAAACTTCTTATAATTTCTCCTGGTTTTCTCTAACAGTGTTACCCTTCTCTCTGTGTCAGATTAAAAAGGCCCTAAGAAATGTTAAGGTTGAGGTGTTGCACATGCAATACAGTAAACGTTACAAAGTTACTGGGATTACAACTCAGCCTACAAGCCAGTTGATGTGAGCTTGTTGTTCTTTCCCAGTTTTTATTTGGAGTAATCGTATTAAAAATTTCATGAACGAGTGATGGATTATATAACTTACAACAGTCTATTATGTTCTTGTTTTGTTTGATGACCATGTTTACCATACCACTTGTGTCCACTTAGGTTTCCCTTGGACGAGAGTGGGAAGAACATGACTGTGGTCCAGTATTTCTTTGAAAAGCATGGAATTAAATTGAAGTATGCCTCCTTGCCAGCCTTACAGTCTGGAAGTGATACAAAACCTATTTATTTACCCATGGAGGTTTGCTTGTTTCTACCTATATTGTATTTCTGATCTCTCTTGTCCATCCAAAATTAGTTTTGCATTTTACTGGCATTTTCTTTCAATAATTTTAAAGGTTAATTTTCATTTCAGGTGTGCAGAATTGTTCCAGGGCAGCGATATTCCAAGAAGTTGAATGAGAAGCAGGTAACTGCACTCTTGAGAGCAACCTGTAAACGTCCCCGTGAAAGGGAGAGTAGTATTCTACAGGTATAGGCAATTTTAACTCATCTTTCTTCTTGATAGTTGCCATCATTTCTTCATTTGTAATTAGTCCTAGTTGTAAACTCTTCTCAACTTGTGCTATGTCCATTCATAATCGTTATATCTGTCATTATATGCAGATGATGAAGGAAAATAACTATAACAAGGATGAATACGCAAAGGAGTTTGGAATTCGGGTAACAGATGCACTTGCAACAATTGAAGGCCGAGTTCTACCACCACCTATGGTAGTCATGTGGTTGAATTCCTCTTTTATCCATTGGTGTAATTTGTTACTTCCGATTTATGGTTGGATGATATGCCTTGTACTTTGCCTATTTCAGCTCCAGTATCATGAAACAGGGCGAGAAACCAAGGTTCAACCGCGTGTTGGCCAGTGGAATATGATTAATAAGGTGAAAACAAAATTCTTAACATTTTACTCATTGCATCCGTATTTTATCTAGTAATTATGATCTTTATGATAGATTTCCATTCAACTTATGCTTTTTTCTATCATAATCTGTCTAAATTTTATGATGTATTTACTTTGCTAGGAATCTTATAATTTGAATTTATAATAGACTGGCTTTGCAGTTTTTGCAATGCATATTTATCGACTCAGCTTTTTGGGGATACATGAGGGATGAACATTAAGGAAATTGGAAGCCTGGTGCAGGAAAACTCAGCAAATTAGTTGTCAAGGTGTTGCCTAGGTCATCAAGAGTGCCTGGCCTGAATGCCATAACTTGTATGAAAAAGGGGCTTTTCTAAGTGATTGAATGTCCATTTGTGTGACAAAATTCACAGGGTGGGGCCGCGGTGCCTTGCTGTAATACCCATGGATGCTGCTTATTAGTTTGTCTGTGTGTGCGTGTGTGTTTTGAGAAGAGAGAAACGAAGGGTTAAAAACGGGGCTCTGCCTCCTTGGTTCTTTTTCCATTTTTGCCACCGTCAAAATTTTTAGTATAAAATTATAGCCTACTCTAGTTGTTGATAATTTGTGACGAGTAATTGCTTGGTTAAATACCGTTTTGTGGGTTAGTTGACTTTGATATGTGAATTGGAGTAACTTGTTTGTACAGAAAGATCAGTGAATTAAGAGTTCTGATAGAAATGGAAGGGAATGAGAATAAAGTGGTTGGTTAATGTCATGTTGTTATTAAGCGAGATAACATGGGGATTAAGATTTAAACCAAAGCCAAAGGGAATGGGTTCTTTTGACATTTTAAAAATGATAAACAATTTAATTGCCCATGGTAGGACCATGCTTGGGGTTTCTTGGCGCTTGCAATGATGTTTTGAGCCCATTAGCATCCTGGGTCAAATGGATTTGCATGTTTGGCACCTGTTTCAGTATCCCCTGGGTCAAATGGATTTGCATGTTTGTGCCGATTAGTAGTTTTATCCTATCTTATTTGATGAACCACATACTGTAAAACCCATTATGTCGACTACTCTTCGGTATTATTCTTTAACATGGTTGCTAGCTTTGCATCTATTACACCCTTTGCCACCATGAATTGTTTTGGTGGATGTGTTCTAATAATGCCTAGGATTAAGATCTTTATGCATTTTGTATTGTCAGATTTTGCATAAGGTATTCTGATACTCTCTTTCTGTCTATTGGTTAGTGTTTTGGCATCAGGCTTACTCTTTGTTATCTGTGAAACTGGTGCAGAAAATGTTCAAGGGAGGAACTGTAAATTACTGGGCTTGTGTGAATTTTTCACGTTTGAATAGAGACATTGCAATTCAATTTTGTCAGGAGCTGGCTGGCATGTGTACTAGTAAAGGAATGGTAAATCTTTTAATTCCTCTTCTGCAGTTACTGTACACACAGTTAATGAAGATCCTTCTCTTTCTTGACAGGCTTTCAATCCAAACCCTTTACTAAATATGGTTTCAGTTCGACCTGATCAAATCGAGAGGACTCTTGCAGAAATTGAGATCCAATCCAGGAAGACACTAGCAAGCAGGGGAGTGACAGGAAAGCAACTTCAGTTGCTGATAATAATTTTACCTGATGCTAGTGGTCATTATGGTAAATGTAACTTAAGCCTGGATTTTTGGCTGCATGAAATAATTCTTTTCCTCAACTTGTGTGTTTCTATTTTCACACAGGAAAAATAAAACGAGTGTGTGAAACAGAGTTGGGAATGATTTCTCAGTGCTGCCAGCCACAGAAAGCTGGAAAGCTCAGCAAGCAGTATCTAGAAAATGTTGCTCTCAAGATCAATGTGAAGGTTTGGAGTTTCATCTTGGTGATGATTCTGTAGTTTAAACCTGAACGTCTGTGCCCTGGATGAATTCCATTGCCCTTTAGATAAAATCAAAAGCTGAATTCTGTTTATCTCAGTATCTTGGCATTATTGTTATTATTTTTATTATTTTATGATTTTAGGCTGGGGGGCGGAATACAGTTTTAGTTGATGCCGTAGAAAGAAGAATTCCCCTTCTTACTGATCGCCCTACCATTATCTTCGGTGCTGATGTAACACATCCACCTCCGGGAGAGGATTCAAGCCCTTCCATAGCAGCAGTACGTTTTTTTTTTTCTTTTTTTTCTATGTATCTAATCCTATTGCAGAAAACTTGTCCTTTGATGAAGATGATAAAAATCATAGGTAGTTGCTTCAATGGACTGGCCAGAGGCAACGAAGTACCGGGGGCTGGTTTCTGCTCAGGGTCCTAGGGAGGAGTTGATCAAGGATTTATATAAAGTTGTTCAAGATCCTCAAAAGGGTGTAGTTCATGGAGGATTGATTCGGTAAGAAAATGTTATGCATGGCATTTTCATGTGTATTTTTTGTGCCTGTATATTCTATCATCTCCTTGTTGTCTCTTGGCAGGGAACTACTGATTTCTTTTAAAAGATCAACTGGGCTAAAGCCTGATAGGATCCTTTTCTATAGGTATATATTCACTTAATGAGTTCCCAATAAATGATATTTGATATTTATTTTACAAGTGGTTAGATGTTTTGCTTCTAATATTTTTCTTTGTATTATTCTTAGAGATGGCGTTAGTGAAGGACAGTTCAACCAGGTTTTGCTTCATGAGGTAGATGCCATCAGAAAGGTGAGAAGGCAGTGGTTGTAGAGTAAAAAAATATCTCTTTTTTCTACAAGTAAAATTAAATACAAAGAAATAATGAAAACTTTGACCACATGATGAGCTTTACTTGTGGAACAATAACAATTATAAGAATTCCAAAAGAAGCTCAAAGTGAGTCGGTCCTAATGCAGATATATGAATGGTTCGGTAGATCCAGGCTCGCTACAACCAGCCAGAGAACTTGCCTACTGAGCCACCATTAATTGGTGCCTCCTACATTGGATGACTGGAACAAGATTTTGTTTCGTCATCGAGGCAGGGAATCTTACATCTCTACTAGAAGTTACCCAATCATAATGTAGGACAGTAGGAGATATGACCTTGAAGAGGAGTATGGACTTGAGCTATAATTGAAACATTGATACCTAGTACCTACATTGTTTGAAGAAGAAGATGTAGCCTAGCCAAAGTCAGTTGGAAATCATGCCCAACACGATTTCATTGAGTCATAATTAGAAGTGCCAAGAATTTTCATATCTTTGGTTTTTGCCCCCAGTCATATTTCTTTGTACTATGAGGTTTTATTTTTTCAGGCTTGTGTATCATTGGAGGAGGAATATCTACCTCGAATGACATTTATCGTAGTGCAGAAAAGACACCATACACGGTTATTTCCAGCAGATCACAATAATCGTGATCTTACTGATAGAAGTGGCAATATTCTCCCTGGTATCAAAATTAGTCTGATGAAATTATGTTGATCCGTTCTCATCTTTGCATCCATCCTTACAAAATGTCCTTGTTTTTAGGTACTGTTGTGGACACTACTATTTGCCACCCTACAGAGTTTGATTTTTACCTCTGTAGCCATGCTGGAATACAGGTTGACCCATATGACACTTTGCATGTTTGTTCAATTTGTCGATTGCTTCCTTTCTTCTGACTTGTTGTATATTACTTGAGAAGGGTACTAGCCGGCCCACTCATTACCATGTCTTGTTGGATGAGAACAAATTCAGTGCTGATGCCCTGCAGACACTAACCAACAATTTATGCTACACGTAATGCTCTCCTCCATACATTTCTCTTATTAGTTAGAGTTTCTTGAAGCAAAATCAACTGATCTGATTCTATCGTCTGTTTTATTTAGATATGCAAGGTGTACTCGGTCAGTGTCAATAGGTTTGTCTCAACTTCGCTGCTTTGAGTTCAGTCGAAGCATTATTTACGTAGGGTGGTTATCTGATAATTGTATTTCCCATGGTGTTTGCAGTCCCTCCTGCGTACTACGCACATTTAGCGGCATTCCGTGCCAGATATTACATTGAAGGGGACTTATCCGACAGTGGGTCTTCTGGTGGAGATAGAAGCACGAGGGAGAGGAGTGGTACAGTTCGGTCTATTCCTCAGATAAAAGAAAGCGTCAAAGATGTCATGTTTTACTGCTGAGTTGAGAGCAGCTTTCTTTCGAGTGCCTTGAGTTACTGTCTTTATGTCGGGGCCGGGGGGTGAGCTTTGTTGCTCAGTTGGCTCTATTTTTTTTTTTTGTCTTTTTCTGAAATACTTGCCCAGTTGTGCTGTTCACGGAGGATTAATGAAATAATGTGCTTTTATATCTGGGACCCTGGAAAACTTGTTTACGTGGCCGATGAAAGAATACGAACTATTACAGGCATGACGAATGTGAGCTATTACGGGTCCGGATGTAGTAGGCAACTAGGCACGTTAGGTAAGCACAACGAGTGAGGGTTGACCTGTCCCAGTTAATGCGCCTTTCTCACCAACCTTCTGCCGTTTTGGGTTCTCTCACCTCTTCACTTTCAGCCGCTGCAACCCATTCCAATGGCCGAGCAGTTGACCTGCACCCTGCCAACCCCTGCCGCTTGGAACATCCGATGGCCGAGCAGCAAGGAATTCTGTTGCCTTGTTCACTCCCTCTTCTTCTCTTCTCTTTTGTCTTCCTGTTCAGACTCCGGGGATGTTCGGTTAAGTTGCCACCGTCTCCAAAATCCTCGGAAATTTTCACCAACTTGGCACGCTTCCCCACCGCTCTCTCAGGGCCCCGTCTCAAAAGTATGGGCTGTTCATTCTACTGCTCGTCGTTTCCTCCTTAGAGATGTCTATGGAAATCGCTAAGACCCAAGATACTAACTTTGCAACTAGGCCTTCTACAACTGCTGCAAAGAAGCTTCTCTATGGCTGCAATGACTTGGGGTTTGCACCTTACAGCGAGTACTGGAGACAGATGAAGAAGATGTCTGTTCTCCGCCTCTTGAGCGTCAAGAGAGTGCAGTCATTCAGATTTATAAGGGAACAAGAGGTTGCTCTTTTGATCGAGAAGATATCTCGTGCATGTCAGTTGCGCAACTCAATTAATCTAATCGAGTTGCTTACCATTCTATCCAATTACTTGATTTCTAGAGCTGCTTTCAGTCGCAAGTTTGAAGAAGAAGATGATGATAGCAGACGGATCGGGCCTTTGACAATGGAGGTAATGTCACTATTGGGAATGTTTAGTGTTCAGGATTTCTTCCCTTAGGATGGATCGATACAATTACCGGATTGGATGGGAGGTTAAAGAGGACGTCTCAAGAGTTGGATAAGCTCCTGGATCAAGTGATCAGAGGTCATGTTAGTACTATTGATGACCAAAGAAGCAAGGACCAGAGGGATGGAGAAGACTTTCTGGATATTTTGCTCCAAGCTCAAAAGGATTCAACGCTCGATATCCCCATCACTCGAGACAATATCAAAGCAATCAGTTTGGTAATATTCATTTCTGTTTCTGAACTACCAAATATTAATTAAGAACACTTTTTGATCTTCCCAGTTTAGGCCTCCTTTAAATGACATTACAATTGCTGGCTTTCTCGGATATCATATCGAAATTGATCCATGCGTCGACCTACAAATGCAATTTTGTACTCATTTTGGCTTTTGCCCTCCAAATAATATATTTCTTAACTAATTTGCTCATATATATCTTATATATCATGTTCCCACTACTTATTCACAGGACATGTTTATTGGTGGAAGCGATACGACGGCCATTACTGTGGAATGGAGCATGACCGAACTCGTCAAGAATCCCAAAGTGATGAGAAAAGCCCACGAAGTTAGACGTGTTGTGGGTAAGAAATCCAAGTTTGAAGAAGATGACATTCCTCAAATGGCTTATTTAAAAGTTGTTATCAAAGAGACTCTAAGATTACATCCTCCTGCTCCCTTTTTTATTCCAAGAGAGTCCATTAGAGCTATCAATGTTAATGGCTACCATATCCCAGCTAAAACCAATCTTCATCGATGTTTGGGCAATTCAAAGAGCGGCTGAAGGTCAAGAGGTGGGAGAACCCAAAATGGCAGAAGGTTGGAGAGAAAGGCGCATTGACTGGGACAGGTTTTTCTTTTTTATTGTTTTTTTTAATTATTTTGACACAAATAATAAAATAATAGATAATTCCTAACGGAACAAAAACGTATAGAAGAAAGGTGCATTAACTGGGACAGGTGTCAAACAGTTATTAGGTACTCACTCATTGTGCTTACCTAACGTGCCTACTACATCCGGACCCAGCTATTACGGGAATGACGCTTGTCATTCGGGTTCGTGTTGGATTATGCAGATTCTGAATTTCTTTATTATTATTATTATTATTATTATTGCAAAATGGAAAGGAACTATTACAAAGATGCATAATAGACAATCATTTGCTTTTTTTAGAGTTTGTACAGTTGAAAACAGTGACAAAATGGAGGAATGTATCACAATTCTAGTGATACGCTGATACCTGAACACATTACTCCATATGGGCTTTAGATTGTTGCAATAGTCCTCGAGTGCTGTCTGCATTTCTCCATGCTAGAAGGTTGGAAACCAACACATTATTCTCTCTCTCTCTCTCTCCCCCCCGGTGGAATGAGCTGAAAAAGAATTTCCAATAAATTCAACTCTGCTTTATTTAAAACTAAAAAGGCAATGCATTGCAAGCTTACTTTCGAACAATTATCATCATTCTAAAATTTTTTTGATAAAAAGAACATATATTGTTACACTGAACCTATGAAGAATAAACTATAAAGTACATCTTCAACGCCTTTAACCATTTTGGTTCAGTACTCGGTAGATGCAAATAGATCAAGAAACCTCCCGCAGTGTAGGCAGGAGGAAATATATATACCATTTGTCGTGGGGCTTCTTTGACATTGTGCTGTTTAAAGAGGAAAACCATGAAGCAGATTTCACCGCCGATAACGATACCGTTTGAAGTTGAAATAAACATGCAGTATACCACGTTCAAATGTGCACTTGAAACCCTTCTTGTGGGAGTACTCCCATTCTTTATTCACAATCCGAAATGCCTATAATGTGGTTGGTTACAATAAATCAGTTCACAGCACATTGATAACAAATTTAATTCAAATGGAAACTCAAGCACATTGCTGCAATTAACGGGTAAAGCGTATAACTTACAATGTCCTCGTAGGGAGGTCCTGCATGAAATCTTATGATGCACGTCTCACTACTATTTCCATCCTTTTCAATGGTATATACTGGAGCTTTGGTTTTGTCAACAAGGTCTGGATAGAAAATATTGAACTTGTAGCCCTGCACGATCTTTGGAGGTGGGTTGTCATGGTCATAGTGAGTCTGGTTGTATTTATTCCACTCGTACCCGGTATGAACACGATTGAAATACTTGGGTTTTCTTGGGCGATACTTGTCGTGCCACCAATATACCTGTGTGTCCATGTTGAGATGGTGAACTTGCCAAATAGGAAGGAGATGATTACCAAGTGATGCAACAAGTTTAAATAGTTGAGTTAAAGTCACACCTGTGAATCCAGGTTCACTTCAGCACCAGACCCAAATACTGCATCTCCTTCCTCCATAGCTCCCATAGCTTTCATGGCTTTCAGTTCCATGTTATCTTCTGCAGGAGCTGGCTTTGATGCCATTACTTCTTGAATCCGCCTTTTCTGTTCTTCTAAAACAGCAACACGTTTACGTTCCTGTTGAAATAATCCCAAGTTATATACAATATAAGGAGTCCTAAAGATGCACGATATAAATGGTGTGGCCATTCGAGGACTGAGCCACAAAGCTTTTTAGTGTGGGTCTCTCTGTCTCAACCATGGGCTAGGATTTTGTTCCTTGGCCACACTATTTATCTAGTCAGAGTTATCTTTCCACAGTAATGCAACTGCAAAAGTATATCATCAGATTTAGTACACTGCTAGGTGTAAAAAATTAGTTTTGCAACAGTTGACTGCAACACGATCTTTTTTTGAAGGCTGAACTTTAATAGAAGAAAGCCATTATATAGATTACCAGCTCGGCCTTGTCCTCCTCAGGGTCAATTGCTTCCTCATTCTCATCACCATGCAACAACTCGGGTGAAAATGAACCAGGCTCCTTTTCTTGCTCACTAGTTTCTTCATTCAGTATAGGCTCAGGAGAGTAGGGTTGGACATCATCTATATAAAGAGAAAAATATCAGCTAGAGCGCTCAAAAAAGGGCTTCTCAAAATTTAAAGAATATGGGCCATAGCTGAGAGTCCATACCTTCAACAGCAAGCTCAATATCCTCTCTAGGCTTTGAATCATGATCACTTTCCAAGTTATCTTCACTTCCCACAGGTTGCTCTAGTCGTTGTAGATGTTTACGCAATAGATCACTGTGAATCTCCTTCAGACGAGCCTGTAATTTTAGCAATTAACCTGTAAGTTCTCAATCAGAAGTTGCGAATTAGCAACCAAACCATTCAAAAATGTGCACAACTATGTACCTTTGCCTTGTATATTGTGAGACGTTTCAGAACAGCCTCCCAATATTCAACCACCTTGGCTGCACCAGAATCCATTTGTGACTCAATCTGGGACTTTAATGCTTCCAATTCCTTGGAAGTTTTTCCTTGCAAAAGGCTCTGAACATCAGTTTCAATGCTTGAATGTAAGCCCCTTTCTTCAGCAAGCAACTCGGCAGGTGGTTCTTCTCCACGGACCCTAGCTCGATCTAGTGCATCTCTTTTTCGAGCTTCAGCTAACTCCCAGTCACAAACCACCATTAATGCCTGAAAACAGAAAAGATTATCATATACATGCATTTAAAGTTACTATGGCAGCAAGGGAATGTGCCAAAAATTGGAAAGATGTAAATAAATAGGGCAATAGCGCCTTCTGACAATGGTACAATGATTCAAAGCAGTATTTCAGGCAATACCTACGATATCAAACAAGTTTCTTTTTTTTTATTCATATCTATAAATTAAAGGTATTATTCAAATTACATACCAATTCAGAGTTGAAAGACATTCAAATAAGTTTCTTTAATGTTCTAGGATATTCGATGTAGCCATATAGGTTAGAAGGTCTCCACCCTCGAGCACCTAAAAGTCTAGACAAGTCCTTGGCCTAAAAGGACAGGTTTCCTACAGACCTGTACATCTATAGCTGGAGTATACTTGCAAAATTTTACTTTAATTATTAATATGATTTTGTACTCATCATTTCCAAAAAAACAGATATTAAGAAAAACAAAAAAGTATACGGACTTAGAAATGGAGAAAGAGCTGAAACTGAAGCATGGTTTTAAAAAGCTATAGGCAATGCATTAAGGCACACGCCTTGAGGTGAGGCAGAACACCTAACCTCAAGCACCTTGTTACTGCGACAAGATGCTACAGCATATGGCTTCATTACTCCCCAAAAATTTAAGAAAACTTGATATTTTAGTTGGTTATAGATAAAACAAGACAACTTAAAATCAAAACTCTCATAATCTCTTTCTTAACCCAAAAATATCTCTTTTATTTTCTCTTACTAAATGTACATGTTAGAACAACATCTCCACTCACGTGAGAAAAGCATTATCCAATCACATGTTCACCCATGACATGTGACAGTGGGACCCATTTTTTTAATTTACAAACTAAAATTAATAGTTATGATTTTCTCTGATAAAAATAAACAAAATAGAAGAATCAATATAATAAAATTGAACACAATTCTAAACATTTTTTATCCACTCTCAATTACTTACAAGCCATTTAGTTCCAATAAAGAAATTGTATATGACAAAAAATTTCATTTGAATGAATACTTTATGTGAAAAAAGAAACCGATCTGAGGCATTTAGTCATTTTTTCCTTTATTCATCAAAAAAAAAATTCATTTGAAAATTTCTAGAATCTAGGTTAGTTGTATTGAGAAAAATATTAGAATATATGTAAATTTATAAAATTATTATTTTATTTAGGTAGAAAAGGTTATACTTGTAAAAATGAAATGTAAAAACTTTTAAAAAGTATCATGTTAAAAAGAATATAAATGTAAATAAATCATATCTGAAAATATAAAGAAATTACAAATAATGTCAGCTTGTTGTGTACATACGAATAAACTAGGATGTATGCCAATTAAATGAGTGGATTATTTTATTTAGGTAAAGAAGGTTACAACAATGAAACAAACTAAAAAATAAATTTTCAAAAAACATACTATTCATATTAAAAAGTACATATGTTAATATGTATATGTGTGTATTGAATTTTTCACAGAATTACAGATTCTGGTTAAGAAAATGACAAGCTGTATGTTCATGCAAAATTTTCCAGCAGGCTCCAAATAAAAAGAGAAATGTAAACAGCATGTACTGCATTTTTTTATCAATAACTAATGCTATTCATCAGTGTTTGGTTATTGTTAAAAATGGTGGGCAATCTGTAGCTGTGCCAAGCACCCCTTCACAAATAGCCTAGCCCTGCTACACATCTCACTTTTACAAAATTTACAAGTTACAGATTATATTCCTGGGGGTCACTCCACAAAACAATATTGAGATCTATTCATTTCTAGCCTGGTGAAAGAGTTGGCTGATCTGCTGGTCTAACAAGTACTGCAATTTTGAGACCACACAAATATTATTATGCACAACTAAGGTTATCAAACTGAAGTCCTCTCCAAAATCCAAGCTCATATGGATCCCAAAAATATCTGTTTATCTAATTAGTAAATCCGGTTTTGATATGATAGTATTACTATATGTATATTGTATAATTAACAATTTATTTTGAAGACACTTTTAATTGATTTTGTCAGTAATTCATAATATATGGAACTGATCTGGGTCCAATCCTAACTGGATAAGTTGGATTTCAATTTAAATCTAAATTACTCAATGGTGGTCCAGGCTATCCAGGATCTTGAGAAGGGTGGACTGGAAATGGACCTAACCTCCGGCACTTTTAGCAGAAATTGGGCACTCTCAGATTTGGATTTGCATCTCACGCTTGTCAGCCCAAGATTTTACCATGAACGGAGCAAAATCTCCTATGCACAATGTAAGACCAATAGGCCATTCAATATTTATATGAGATTATGGGTATCTGAGGGGGGAAATACCTCCCAAAACTCTATATGTGTTGGTGTTGCTCTGTCCAGATCAAGATGCATTTTTATGTCATCATGAAGTTCTTCCATTTCTTTCACTGTCAAACCCTGTAGTATGCATTTCAAATGTTAATATCACAAGTGGTCAGAATAAATGCCATCAAAAAGAAAAAAATGTGGGCATGATTTAGAACTAAAGAGCATAAGCATACATCACATTTACAAGAAGAAAATGAATGGTCTAAGTGTATGATAAGAGAAATATCTCGCAGAAACTATAGGCTAAAACCAAGTCAATGCATATGAATAATGCTTGATAGTAGTTAGACACTTGGCAAGGCAATTACGGATAATGTTCACTTGGATTCAGAGAGCAGCAAATAGTCTATCTGATGCTCTATAGGGGAGAGTTCATCACACATACTTGGCAAGGAAATTAAGGATGATGTTCACTTGGGTTCAGAGACCAACAAATAGTCTAGCTGGTGCTCTATATGGGTCTTCATAATAAGATTTGAAACCTGATTAACCATTAAACACCTAACCTGGTTAACTCCTCTCTAAGTTGTATGTTATATGGGCTTTGTGCCCGTTTGGGAGGACATTCACGAAGCAGCTTTTGGCATTGTATAACCCAAGAAACCCAGAAAGTCAAAAATAGGCTTACATGAACCCAAAAATTGACTTTTGATGAAGCTATTGTAGGTAACTTCTTGGAAGCAGCTCTGTCAATGCAGATCAATCATCGAAGAAGCCCTCCCAAACGGGCTCCTATTTGGTTAGGCCCAATGGAGCCCAAACCGTATTAGAAACTGGACCAGGCCATAATAAAGCGGCCTGATCTGGTCTGGTTTCTATACTAAAATGTTTTGTTCTGGTCTGAATATTTCTCAGACCATAATTTTCTGGTTTGGTCTGAGATTGTCTGGAACCAAACTAGACTGGACCATGAGCACCCCTATGCACTGGCCAGTAAAAGAGCACAAAGAGATTGTTTATTTAGAGAGAGATTTATCTAAAGGTCAGAATGGATTATACAGAAGTATGGAATTTAGTGTGTGAGCAACAGGGAGCTAGCCTATATCTGTACTAAGGCACACTTGTATATCATTCTTTATCCACAATTGATAAAATGTTCATTTGTTATTGATAGTGCTTGAAGGTCTTGCAAAACAAATGAAAAAAAAAATCAGATTCTGATGGAAACCAGTCCCTATGTCCATGCCAAGACGTTCCCAAGTGCCTCTCAATTATATGTTGCACATTCTCAAGGATACGGCCTTGAAGTTTAGTTGCTATTTTTTCTAAATTCTCTCAGGTTATATTCTTCAAAGAATCTGGTAGAACTGCAGATGGGTAATAGAGCTGTGAATCTCTCAAATTGTCAAACCATCCCATTGCTAGGTTTGAAGGAGTTATTTATTAAGTGTTTGATTGGCTTCTCTCTCTTGATTAGTAATCTGTTTCATTTTAGAAGAAACAAGAATTAATTAAGTAGTTTCTTTCTTGACTTTTAGCCCAAGTGATATTTTCCAACCTGTCCAACAACCCACTCCCTATTATATTGCATGCCTTATCATTTTATACAAACTTTCCTTTTAGCCCAAGTGATTTCTCCAGCCCTGTCCATTTCTTCTTTTGATCAATAACCAACCATTTTATTAATAGTAATTTAATGTACGAGTATACATACATCCATCCATTGGAGATTAAAAAAAAACCTTTTGTCTCCCATTCATTCTTTTCTTACAATTGTGCCCAGAAAATTTGATCTCTCCCCACCCTTTGTCTGGTTAATGCATCGGCCATCTGTTTTCTGTTCTTTGTACCCATTGAAAACTTACATCCATCTCTCTAGCCATCCATCTATTTTTTTAATACATTTTTGTACTGCCAAAGAGCTCCCTCTCCATTCTGCAGCCACTCCACCATTTTTTAATTTCCTTCAACAATTAGCTTGTTGAAGTTCATCATCCTTGCCCTTTGTACACCTTCATGACAACCATTATCTCAGCTCTTAGAGAATCTCCTACTCTAATTGGACCTGAAAATATGGCCACTATATGACCTTCCTCATCCCTAAAAATGCCTCCCAATTCCATCACCACCTGTCCATTTCAACCATCTCATTCTAATTACACGGTTGATATCCTATTAATCTCTCCCTTGTTATGCCATGTTATTGGCATGTAACCATAATATGACAGGAGAAGCAATGACATACTGATAAAAAACAAATGATTCATTCATATCTTCCTTTGTGAATTACCTTTCTCTTTTCCTGAAGAGAATCTCTACTCTCAAATATCAGAAAATTATATAGTACTAGCATACTAAATGGAACAAAATGGAATTCAATGAATATGACATATTTACCTTGAAGACCATGTAAGGTTCATTTATTTCAACGTCAAAATCATCCGATCCATTAAGGTTCTTGGATAGAATATCAATAGGCTTTGTACGCCCCTCACGCAGTCTAATCTCTGACCTGATTTTGCTTTGATCAAAATGGAACTGTAGATTAAATATGTTAGCAACTAAAGGATTGGAATATTCAAGGATGCAAGAGAATTAAGGACTATATATCATAATTACATCAACAAAATGCTAAAACAGAAACCATCATAACTCCAAGACAAAAATAGATACATAATTACTTCAAATGAAGCAATGGCAGGAAAATGAGTGATGCAATGAATCTGCTCCATACCTCTTCTTCTTTCTTTTCCCAGTCTTGGAACTCAGCCCTAGCCCGTTCCCTTGCCAACATTGCCTGCAAAATCAACAAAGGTAATTTTCCCATAGTAACCTGTATTTGTCTATAACTCTATATACAACAGAGAAAAGAGAAAAAGGAACCATAAACTAACTTGTGCTTTGCATAGTTCCTTGTTAAACTTTATCCTTGATGGGAACAACAATAATACAAAATGTTAAAAATTGAACTAACCATTTCCTCCTCATGTTGTGCCTTTTCAATTGCCCTTTCCTCCCTCCTCTTTTTCACCTTTTCGATCTCTGCCTGCACCAAGAATATGAATGTAAGTGTTGTAGAGTTTATTATTAAAGGTCAGGAATAATGCAGGAGCGGAAGAATCAAATATGGAATTTTCCTAAATTTTTTGTATTTTTTTTGTATATTTGGACAGTATGGGTATTTTCGTCATTTTAACTAGTCCTGTGTGGGGTCTGGGCTATAACATCTTCTTCCTCTAGTTTAGTAGGGCTTATCTTTCAATTTTCAGTTTATTTGCATTAGTAGATAGAAAGTTATTGTGTTTCTTGATGCACAAGACAAGGAGTGGCATTTTTGTAATTACGGTGAACAGTATTCCGGGCCACAAGTCACTCTATATAAATAGATGTATTCTCTTCCTCTTGAAGCTAATGAATGAATGAAAGAAGATTTCTTAAGAGTTCTCTTGCTGTATGGAGTGATTCCTACAAACCCTAGAGTGATTCTAGGACCCCTTGGAGTGATTCCTTGGGATTTCTCTCTCTTTTCTCTTTCTCTACCCTTTCTCCTCTCTCTTTCTGTCTTGTGTTAGTTTGTTCCAGCCCTACTACATTAGTTTTGGTATCAGAGCTAGTGGTTAGTCACCATGTTCTCACAAAGTGACTGATTCTATGGGCCTAGAGTATCATTTAAACAATCTCATGGGCCTATAATCAATGATGATAGGGTTTTTGAACCATATGAAGGGTCTATGGTTGATTTACTTGAGAACTTGGTGGAAGAAAGTAGTTCTAGTAATGTTGGTTATAGGAGTAAGGTTTTCAAGAATGTTAGAAGAGAAAGGGAAGTGACTAATTTCAAAGGAGATGAAGACAGACAAGCATTCTTTAATTGGATTGCTATACTAGAAGAATATTTCGATTGGCATGATATGTCTGAAAAACAAAGATTTAGATTTGCACACATGAAGCTCGCGGGTATTGCTAAAGTATGGTGGAGAACTCTTGAGCAACAACTAGAAAATAGAGGTGAATTTCCTATTACCACATGGGCAAAGATGAAGATGCATTTGCAAGAAAAGTACATTCCACAATACTTCCATGATGATCTATATGTGGAGTTGACTAATTTCAAGCAAGGTATGCTATCTGTAGTTCAATATATGCATAAGTTTAATGAATTATAATATTAGATGTGACATTACAGAAAGTGAAAGGCACAAACCAATTCATTTCATGAATGGACTAAGGGATGATATCAAGAATGAATTGTCTACAATTCAAATTTATGACTTAGATCATGCATTTGAATTGGCTCTTAAGATAGAGAAGAAGCAGTTGATTACAACAAAGAATTTGAAGCCAATGAAAAGAAAGTACAAAGTTGAAGATAAAGAAGATGATTTCTTGCATGTTGATGCCCATCCTAGAGATAAAGTTGTGAATGAAGAATTTCAACCTATAGAAGTTGTAAACATTGAAGATCAAAAGAGTGTAGGCCAAGAAAAGATTAGAATGGTTGAAGAAGGAACTTCCAACACCCATGGTCAACTTGAGGTTAATGATCAAGAAGAGATAGAAGTGGGGCAAGATGCAAATGTGTTGGTTGTAGTAGATGTTAGTAAGGAAGTAAGTCATGACTTTACCTTACAAGTTCAACTGGATTCAATTCAAGAATTACAAGTTGACATAGTACAAGTTCCACCAACATCAATAATGGCAGAAGTTCAAGATTTTGCTGAAGAACCAAGGGGAGCTGGACACATAGAGATGGAGATTTCTCAACTAGAGATTGAAGGAAAAGTTCCAAATGCTGCAATTGAGATTTTGGATGTGAAAATTCATAGTGATAAGCAAGGGGAAGATTCACCACAAGATAGGCTAATTGGTGATGTAAGTGGTCAAGAAGCTAATGTTATTGATTATTTAACAACTAAGGTTATGGAAGGCAGTATTTCATACATATATTGCTTTCAAGATCCATTTATAGCTTTGTGTGTGACATCTACTCTACAGTCCAAGTATGTTGAAGTAGTTATGGGAATTACTACTYATTTTGTCATTGAGGTACATCAATGTTTCATCCTCAAGATCTTCAAAACTCGAGGACGAGTTTTTTTGAACCAGGGGAGAATAATCCAAGAGCTAAAGAATCAAATATGGAATTTTTTTAAATTTTTTGTATATTTGGAAATATGGGTATTTTTGTCATTTTAACTAGTCCTGTGTGGGGCCTGGGCTATAACATCTTGCTCCTCTAGTTTAGTAGGGCTTATCTTTCAATTTTCAGTTTACTTGCATTAGTAGATAGAAAGTTATTGCGTTTCTTGATGCACAAGACAAAGAGTGGCATTTTTGTAATTATGGTGAACAGTATTCCGGGCCACAAGTCACTCTATATAAATAGATGTATTCTCTTCCTTTTGAAGCTAATGAATGAATGAAGATTTCTTAAGAGCTCTCTTGCTGAATGGAGTGGTTCCTACAAACCCTAGAGTGATTCTAGGACCTCTCAGAGTGATTCCTTGGGATTTCTCTCTCATTTCTCTTTCTCCACCCCTTCTCCTCCCTCTCTCTCTCAATACCCTCTCTCTCTCAATACTCTCTCTTACTCTCTCATTTCTGTCTGGTGATAGTTTGTTCTAGCCCCACTGCATCAAAGAATCATAATGATTAAATAATGACAAAAAGAAAAGACAACAGAGCCATCTGGCTCTGATCAACAGCGAAATACTTGAAAATTTATGCATGCCCTTGCTTGACAGAACTTTATGATGTAATTCTCTAATCTCAACAGAGCTTGCTTCTGTCAGGAGGGAGAAAAATAGCAAATATAAAATATAAATTGGACTTATTCCCAATATGACTTTGAAACTTAACTACACATATTTCCTCTCTACATATCTTTTTCTCTTTGTGTGTGTGCATATTCTAATGTCCCTTTGGCCCCCACGGGGGACAGGTGCTATACACTAGACCTAGTCAGTCAGTAAGTGAGAAAGTGCATGCAGAGCCCACAGGCATAATGCAAAAAGCCTGCCTATCTGCGGGTTTGAACCTGCACCTCCTCAGGCCAAGGGATGCTGTGCAATCAACTCAACCATAGGGGTGTCACAAATCTGCATGAACAACTATTGTGATTGCTCCGCTAATATATGCATTTATTTATGAGAAACAATAACTTTCATTTAATTTTAAGGAAAACCAGAACAACTGCCACCTTCATAGGCAAGGTGACCCCTTAACACAAACAGTTTATGAACATGCCCAGAAAAGATTTTCCCTACTAACTCCTTGCTTCGCTAAGGTATCGGCCATTGCATTGGCTGACCTCCTAGTCCATTTAAAGTGTACTTCAGGCTCCCCCATTAGGTGCATAATTTCCCTTACAGGCTGTCCAAGGGACCAAGTGCCCAAACTGTTTGTTTGCATCCGACCTACTACCAATTCTGAATCTCCCTCCACATCCAATTGTTGAAAACTCAGTTGTTTAGCCAATTTGAGCCCCTAAGAGTGCCAAAACTTTAGCTCTAAGAGAGTCCCCAAGCCTATCAGGCCAGAAAACAGGGCCAGGACTCTTCCTTCCCCATCTCTAAAGACACCCCCAATTCCAGAGGGGCCAGGATTACCTACAAAGCTGCCGTCAAAATTCAACTTTACACCACAAAGTAAGGAGGGGACCAATCCTCTTAAAGAGTTATAGATGAGCAGGAAGAGCTTGCTACTGTGCTCCAACCGCTAACCATATCACCTACGGAGAAGTCCTTGAAAAGGTCCAATGATTTCAGCCAATGGTGATCCCTTCTATGAGTTCATGTGCTGTTTTTCTTGCCCTTGGAAAATTCTGTTATTTCTCTCTTCCCACACTGCCCAAATAATTTCTGCCCTTGTTGTTCTCCCCATCTCTGGTGTCCTTGATCTCTGCGGCTAAGGGTCTTCAGCAGCGTAATCTAGTAGCTTTGTTGAGGACCAGAAAACTGTGGGAAAGGTTCAAAATTTTGCAGCAGATAGGTCCGTATCAGTGACCCCCCAATATGCCCTTTTTGGATAGGTTTCGGGGTTTGACCTGCTTTAGGGGGTAGAGAGGCCTTAAACCCCCCCCCCCCCCCGAACAGGTTCGGGAAAAAAAAAAAACTAAAAACAAAACGCTCAATGATACAAACTGATACGCCCCATCTGTGGGAGTTGTAATTTTGCTTGTGCCTGGCCAAGGGCATTTTCCTTGGGGGCCTGTTGTACTTTGTTCTATTAATAAAAGCTACCTCACTTTTTTTCCAAAAAAACATAAAGAAAGATTCCTCTTACTCAACTAAACCTTGTCCCAATTATATGGGGCCTGCTACATTTTTTTCTTTTGATGGATAACTTGAAAATGTTACTATTAAAAGATGTGTTTTGTATGACTATTTACTAAATACTTGACATTTGGATCCAAGCCAAGGGAATTTTATATGATTTTGACAAAATTTTCTCTAAAATCTGAACTGTTGATATAAGCCCATAAGAAATTAATAAAGATTAAGTATGATCAATTTATCCCTGGTCAGGAAATCAAGTTATTCAATATTTCAATGTAACCGATCATCAAGCACTTAATCACAATATAAATTTCTTACCATCCTTTCTTTCTGTCTCTTTTTCTCAGCTTTGACCGAAAACGTTTCAAGCGGTACACCTTGTGCAACATCACGTTCAATCTTCTTTCGCCACACAAACCTACATACACAATGAACATATCAGAATAAAATATAAACAACAAAACAACTATTTTTGTTAGTTTATCATGTTAAGCTTGTTAAGTCATTAATTTCATCCATTTGTAACATATGATCTATATATAAAAAAAATGAACTCCTAAAAAATACAAAATTAAGAAAACCAGATATTCCAAATTGCAAACAAAACTAAATGCAATTTGAAAAGTGAGAAATAACAAAGAGAGTTCGAAACAGAAGAATCACATATAGGTTCTCCTTTGTCACAATGAAAGTACTTTCTTCCTTTTTGTTGATAACAAAAACATTATCAGAGAAGGAGCAAGAAGGATACAAAGAAGGAGATCAAAGGGATGGCCATGAAAGGGCAAATAAAGAAAGAGGTTGCTCAGAAAAATTTGACTCACAATCTAATTGTCACTTAAACCTCCATCCTTGGAAAGCCTGTGTCATAGCATTAGTTGACCATGGTACTCAGGAAAAAGATATTACAATTGGGAAGCCAGAAACCAATTGGATGCTATGAGAGAGGTGCCTAGAAAATATATTGTCAATAGATCAATCAATATATGTATTTGTGCTTGAGTGCATGTGTCACCAAAATACATTCTATTAGATCCTTGATTTTCAACAATGATGTCTAGGAATGTGAGGGCCTTTGATGATCTTGAAGGAAGAACATCTTGTTGCCAGATTGGAACCCCAGTTATCCATGGCATCGATAATGCAAAACCTCTCACGCTCTCTGGAGTCTGGCCTAGGGACACTATCCATCTCAATTCTTAGGTCCAATCATGTCTGCATACACACAATCATATAATATGAGGAAAAAAAAAAAAAAAAACTTGCGTTCCCAACTTCCCATAAAAACATAACCAAGGGCACAACTAGCACCTTGTAAATTATATAAAATATAAAGAATGTCCAAGAGATACCTTGCCCAGCAGAGAAGAAGGAAAATACAGGCCACTCACCTTATCCCTCCTTAGCAAGATAAAACTTGATGCCAAGGAACTTGTGTATTATAGGGGATAACTAGATGTACACACCCAAAAAATGAAGCTTGACCGTAGTGCCCAGAACAATTAAAAGGGGATCATGCCAACCTTTGGAGCTCTTTAGGAGTTGGCCTGCAAAGAAGTACCTAATGACCACTTGACCATGCATCAGCCCCTCTTACTCACTTTCTCTGGCATCATTTTTTTATCAATAACTGGACTTTAATTAAAGATTAGAAACAGATACATAAAAGGACACAGGGAGAAGTAAACTCGCTTAACCCTCCCCAAGTAAATGTTCAATTACAACAAATCCCAAAACAAAATTTCCCTTCCCAGCCCTTGTTTTGCAAGTGCATCTTTTTTCTATCAATAGCTTTGCAAGTGTATCTGCAAAACAATTAGCAGTCCTCTTTACCCACTGTAGTTCTATCTCCAAGTCCCTGGTCAACCGCTTAAACTTCTTTTTCATTGGCAAAATTCCATATTCCATTCAGTAGACGATCAAGACTGCGATCAGCCTTGAACCCTAATAGATTTCAGATTAAGAAAAGTAGAATAAAAGTAAGAGGAAGGAAGAAAGGAGAAGAGAAGAACTGGAGAACACAAGGGTTTGAAAGGAGGGACAGATTCTAACTGATCTGCCGCCACCACTCTCTTAGTATTTATAGGTTATGTTCAGTACATAGAGAAAATGACAGACTGCCCTTAGTACTTTACATGACAAATAAAGCAAATAACAAACTGACCACCAACTGACACTACCATGACTGAAACAAATAATTACACATACTGTCCTACGAACACAGTGGGGACCACAGCTGTGGGGCCCACATCAGTTTTCTCTACACTCTCCCTCAAGTTGGGAGTAGATATTTATCATTCCCAACTTGGATAGGTCTGCCTCTA